TCTCACTAAATACCCTTAGTGCAATAAAATATGAATGCTGTACTAAAGTTACATACTTTCACTTATCCAGTAATAAACTATGCTGATTTCCTGAGCAAAAGATGTTTTGTAATTAAAATAAATGAGATCAGGAACAAAGACATAGTCCTAGATATTATTTACATGTCATTTGCTAGCTTTCCAGTATTAATTTGAGTAATCACATGCTGGGGGTTAAAAAACAAAAGCATAGAAATCATTACCAAGACCTGTGAATTCCTGACAGTCCTAACATTCTTAGATAAATACGTGTGCCTTGATTTTCTTCTACACATCCTTACCACTGTGGCTACTTATTTTCAATATTATAGGTTGCACTCTCCCTAAAAATGTTTACTCACAATGAGATGAGGTATTTATGCAAACTCATACTTAGGATTAGCTAACAAAGAAAGCAAATTGACTGTAAGGTACATAATGACCTCTGTAGAATTTAGTCCTTTGCTGATTTGGCTACCTTCCATTAACTATATTTTACAAGCCTACATTGCCTCTGACATGAGGAAACAACTGCCCTCACAAAACTACAGGTCAAATTCCTTACCATATTAAAGGAGGGCTTGCAGCACAGCCAAAAGTGTATAGGCAATAGCCAAGTGCTCCAAGCTGAACACAGTCACCAACATGAGAACCCTTTCTGAAAAGGATTGGACTAGCTCCTTAGAGTTCATGGCAATGGAAATGGACTCACAACTCATCAGAAGCCTCAGTGCCAGGGCACATGAAGACTGAAAAGACATTGTAGTCCAAACATCAAAAAACACATAGCTGAAAATGTCAGGCAGCCTCACCTTCTTCACAGCAATAGCCACAGCAATCACTTTCCAAATCTCAGAGAGATAGCCCGGCAAACTGGTACTCAAATTAATAAATATTTGTTTCAAAGGATTAAAAACTGTTTTATATGCATTGTGTCTCTTTTTTTGCCCACTGTAACTTGCTGTCCTTTTATTTTTATTATCCTTGTGTGTTGGGTCTGGGAACCTAAGGGACAGGTGAGTGAGTTAGTACCCTATCCCCCATGGAGAGCTCAATGAGCCCTGCACCCTGAGAAGGAGACACCTGGTCTCATAAATCTGCCACAAGGCTGATAGATAGGATGCTCTCAAAGTTGTTCCCCACCCTCCATAAGGGGCAAACAGACCAGCTCATCAAAGAGAGCCCATGCATGTAAACCCACGATCAATGGAAAGAACCCACCTAACCCTTACCCTAATCCGTAGTTAAAGCATCCATAAAAAGCCCCAGCCTTCACCTCGGCAGGCAGCCACTGGTTTCCGGGCTCTGCTGCACTACTCTAGCTGCAGCCTTTTCTTTTTCTAATAAATCTACCTGTATGTGTACTGTGTGTGTCTTGTGAGAGTATTCCTAAACCCAGTGAAGACAAGAACCCCTGGAGTGCCCTGCTCCGGTACTCCACAACATGGGCTTGACACATATTTTGGATTTATGCATCAATAAACAAGTGATACAAAAAAGTGAATGATTTGGGATAAGATATGGACACATTTAATTTTAAAAAATAATTGTCAAAAATGTTTGAATTGGAAGAATTCCCCAGGGGGACCCCCAAAGTATACCAAAGTGATCTTTAAAGAACTCTAATTGCTAAGTAGTAAAGGAAGATCTCCCAAAACAGAATAAGAAGTGTTAGCCACATGTGTCTTATAATGTATTGTGTGTTACAGAAGTCAGGTAAAGAAAGAATTCCAAGTGGAGAGAATGATCACTCAGGTAAATCAAGTCATGGGAATACAGACCATGCATTGAATTTTGCAGCATTGACTCCATTGAAATCTTAGTCAGAAGAATGGAGTGGCCCAGTAGACTAGAGAAAGCTTAGTTATTAAAAGGAAGTAAGGGTATTAGGAAGAATATGTGCAGAGAAAACTCTAGAATCCTGAGCATAGACAGGACCTTGAGGTTCTATCCTTGGTTATGTAGCTAGCCTGCATTTCTCCATTTGTAAAATGAGGGTGTGAATATAGCTACACTCAGAAAGAACTTGAGAAATAATGGGTAAAGCCTTATACTTGGCATCGTTCCATTCAATTTAGGTTAAATAAGATGTATTATACATACTTTAATCCAGGAGCATAAAGATAACTAGGACAACATGCATTCTTGCTGAGAGTTTGTTATTTGATAAGGGAAATGGACTAAGTCATGTAAATTTAAGAAAACATGGTGAATTTGGAGAGGAAAGTATACATGACATGCAATGCAAGCAAGGAAGAGGGCATTTCCTCAACAGAGATTTTGAGAAAATCCCTCAATGAAAAGACACATGAACTCAATTGTGAAGGAACCAAGAGGAATTATTCAGATGGTGGGGGAGGGTAGAGATAACACCACAGAGGCCCAGGGGCATGAAACACAACTAAGATCAGGTAATCTGCAAACACATCAGTTACTAGTATATATACTTGGAGAGTAAGAGTTTAGTTTGGAGAGACAGAAAAGCTAACCTCATGGAGAATTTGTTTGCTGTGTTAGGAAGATTTGACTTTATAATTTAGTAACTGTCTGAGTTCAAATCTAAGATTAACCACCAATTAGCTTTATGACTTTGGCCATGTTAGCTACACTTGCTGAGCCTCAATGAGAGTTTTTATGTTTGGTTTCCTTAAATGAAAACACAATACATATACTCTAATATGGAAGTTTCATTAACCCCCAATTAGGGATAAAAATTGTTATCAGAGGAGGAAGCAGCCTTAGACAATCTAACACTTATTCTGCATATAAAGAAATTGAGTCCCAAGAAGACTGATAACTTATCAAAGTTCATGATTCATGAAGTAGCAGACTCTGGAGCAATATAAGTTCTGTTATCTGTTAATATGACACCTTTGAATATTTCTTTCCTCTATGAGTCAATAAAAAGTCAGGTTCTTCAATCTCAAAGGGCCAGTACAGATGCCATTTTCTGAGAGTGGGCCAAAAACTGAAGGTTGAGAATTAAGATGGGAACAAGGGGTAACATGGTAACGACATCTCCAGATTTATCTTCTATGTAACTAACAGTGAGGTCAAAGTTTGGTTTAAATCGTGCAAGAGGCATGAGTTTTTGACAGAAGTCATGCCAGTGACACACCCTTGTTCTGCCATTGACTCATTATGTGACTTGAGCCAAGTATTTTCTGTATCTATAAAAATCTGAAAATAATGTATTTCTGACTTCTAGTGAAGTTCAAATAAGTTAGCAAATATAGTCACAGACAGAAGTTGGGTACACTTAATGTCATATACCTAGGCAATTTATACTCAAAGCATCCCAGAAAATCTGGGAGTGGACCTATTTTATGGACCATTCTCTATCTGCTAGGTTCCAGACTGACTTTCTAAATTCCAGACAGTTGATGTCAAGCTAGTCAATAGTTAAGGGACCAAAGATCAGAGTCTGAACTGAACTTGGTGGAGTCTAGCTAACAAGAAAGGAACATGTGCAGGGCTGGAACAGGTGTGGTGCTTGTCACAGAAATAAATGCAGCTGAAGGCAAGAAAATTAAAAATGGGTGAAGTAGGGAAAGAAGTCAACCAATGTGTTATCTCAAACCAACAAAAAACAAATGCTCCCGCTGGACAATCAGAAAATGCTTTCTCTGTAATTATTTACAGCTATTGCCTGACAATTATTTTGGGCTCATTCCAATGTGAAAAGCACAACAGGAACAGTAAGCATTTTTCATTACACAACATTTCTTCCTTAAGGAAGAAAGCATAAAAATTTGCTTGAAGTAGTCATGGAACTAGTTCTATAATCTTCACGTGACTTGGTACGCTTCCACTTTCTGGTGAAGAAAACAGAGCTCCAGGCAGAACAAGCCATAGGCAGAATGAACATAAGGATTTTGAACCATGTTTTATTGCTGCTTTTTCCTTTCCTGAAATTTGCTAACTTCTTTGTCATGGGCATTCAGTAACATGCACACTTCCTGTTGAAATAGCAAGGCAAAACCAGACAGATCTCCCCACAGACTTTAAATCTTGAGCCTCACAAATATTTTGATTTACTAAATTCATACAACATATACTCTCTCTTTACCTTTCTCATTCTACAATCTTCTAAACTCCCACATTACAAGCTATGAGAGAACCAAAATGAATCTCTCTCTTTCCCTTTTTTTGTTTGAGAAAATCTAAAGAAGAAATTAGGAAAAATGTGTTTTTCACTTTCCATCCACTTACTGAACACCTGCTGTGAGTTCAGGTGTTCTGCTAGGTACATAAAACAGAAAAATAATGAGACATCAATCCTGGCTCAGAGAGTTCTCAGCCTAGTAGGAAGATAGAAGCAAAAGCTAGTCTGGAATTAAACTTGATTTACTTAGAAGCAGACCAAGAAAACATTCATGAGTGAGAGCTGTTTTGAGTTGAGACAAGATAGAAGAATCAGATTTTGCCGGGGTTGCCGCAGAAAAATGGGCATAATGGCAGATGTAACAATATGGCAACAGACACAGGGAGTTACGAAAAGATGTCAAAGATTCAGTATCTGTCAATCACTTGTTATTGATGGAATGGGGATGCAATGGGATGAAGTACTATTGGAGATCTGAGTCCAGAGAAGGGGTAAGAAGTTAAACCACAAAGAGTTTTATATGCCATGATAAAGGGGTTTAAATTTATCCTGAAGATAAATAAATATACCATTGAAAGATATAAGACCATGAAGTGAATAACTAGATTTCTACTTTAAAAACTCTTCCACAGTGTGGTGAGGGGAGTAGAGAGGTGGAGAGTCAGGCACAACTTCCAGTGAGGTCATTGCATTAGTTCATGACAGTGATGGCAGAAACCTAATTCGGAAGAATGGGGTTGGGGGAGAGGAGGTATATTTGAGAAATATTTGAGATTAGACAACTAATTAAGTGTGTAAAGTGAAGTCAAGGGGGAAGTAATACAAGATAAATACAAATTTAGGGCTTTAGCCTCTGGTTAAGTGGTGGTGAAATTACCTGCAGCAGAAATGTGGAAGGATGTATGGGAAAGATTCAGTTGAATTTCCTCTAGGACATTACATCTATCTGTGGATCTTGGGCTGAGATAGAGAAAAAACATCAAAATCAACACAATCCCAGATACTAAGAAGGCAGCCCAAAAATTGTTCTTAACATTCTCCTCCTCTAGAAATCATATTTTCTTAGGAAATCAAGTGGGAACTTTAGTGGTTTAAAGTATATACCCATTCTATTAAAAGGGGGACAGAAGAAAATTGGAAACAAGATTGAGGAAGACAGTTGATTAACCTAGAGGTAGAGAGAAATCTCCTAAAACAAAAGATTGATATCTCAGTGGACACATTGGAAGATTAAAGTTCTCTCTCTTTTTTTTTTTAAATAATATAGTATTCTGTATTATTTATATTTCTGTTACATAGATGCTATTATTTAAACAAAATGATAAATTCTATTATTTAAGCAAAAACAATTAGTAGTAGTTAACGGTGGCAATCAGTAGTAGAGCCAAATAACATGAAAAAATAGAACAATATTTTTTAATGTTTTTCCTACACTTTTAAAGGGTAGAGCCCTTCAGCTTTTTTTTTTTTTCATTTTTCTTTTATTATTCATATGTGCATACAAGGCTTGGTTCATTTCTCCCCCCTGCCCCCACCCCCTCCCTTACCACCCACTCCGCCCCCTCCCTTCCCCCCCCACCCCCTCAATACCCAGCAGAAACTATTTTGCTCTTATTTCTAATTTTGTTGTAGAGAGAGTATAAGCAATAATAGGAAGGAACAAGGGTTTTTGCTGGTTGAGATAAGGATAGCTATACAGGGCATTGACTCACATTGATTTCCTGTGCGTGGGTGTTCTCTCTTGAAGGCCAGAAAGAGACTTATTGGAGAGGGAAAGGGCCCTCCTATGTCCACCTGTTCCTTTAGGCGGTGAGGGAGTTTAGAAAAGGAGAAGATAAATCGGTTGTTAACAAATAAGAAACAACAGAGGAGAAAAAACAATCAGGGCATAAAACTACTGAGAAGAATTTTTTTTTCCCCCACGGTACTAGGGTTTGAACTCAGGGCCTACACCTTGAGACACTCCACCAGCCCCTTTTTTATGGTGGCCTTTTTCTAGATAGGGTCTCACAAACTTTTTTCCTGGACTAGCTTCAAACCATGATCTTCCTCATCTCTGCCTCCTGAGTAGCTAGGATTACAGGCATAAACCACCAGCACCTGACTGAGAAGCATCTTTTTAAAGCCACAGATAGAGAAAGAAAATCAAATAGGCAGCCGTAAACAAAACAAGAGGTGTATGTAGTGGTTGCAGAATACTTGCACTGATGTAATGGGAGAGGATGAGGAAGATCAGCCTAAGATATTCAGAGCACTGTTGTGCAACTAAGCAAAAACAATGAGTAAGCAGAAACTAGAAGCAGGCATGAAGAAGAAAACAGATTTTTAGGGTAAGGGGTAACATAGTTGATTGGTCATGACAAAAGCAGTCAAGCAGGGACAGAAAAGAGCTGAGTCACTATTGAGATGGAGAGTTAACCTCAGTCTCTGACACTGAAGAAGCAATAAAATAACCCAGTTTCTCAAATGTTTCTTTTTTCTATTTTTTTTAAATTGTTGTTGTGCTGGTGGCAAATGGTGACATTTACAAAAGTTCTTACAATGTATCATAGTTGAATTCACCCCTCCATCATTCTCCTTTATCAACCCTCCCCCCATTCCTGGAACATTTTCAACAGGTCTCATGTTTCCACTTATACATGTGCACAGTACTTGCACCACATTCACACTCCTACATCCTTTCTTTATATCCGTCCCCTCCCACTGGTGCCAACCCCCAGATAGGACCCCTTTTTTCTTCTTGTTCTCCATTTTTGTTTGTTTAAGATAGCTATACAGAGCATTTCATTGTGACATTTCCATGTATAGGTATTATAACTCTATTTTTCTCCTTTCCACCTTAGTCGCCTTCTCATGGTAATTTCAACAGGTTAAAAAATTCTATATTCATTCTGGTATATGAAGTACATCAACCATATTCACCTTCTCAACTTCCTTCTTTTAATCTCCCTCTCTTGTATGTGACCTCCCCTTAGCATAACCTATTTTTCATAATATTGCTTGTATTTGTATTGGGTCTATATTCCACATGGGAGAGAAAATTTGTGGTCTTTCGTTTTATGAACCTAGCTAACTTCACTTAAGATGATGCTCTCCAGTGCCGTCCATTTACCTGCAGACAACAAAATTTCATTCTTTATGGTTGAATAAAATTCCATTGTATATAAATATCACATTTTCTTAATCCATTCATCAGCAGTGGGGCATCTTGGCTATTTCCAAAGCTTAGCTATGGTGAATAATGCTGCAATAAATATGGATGTGCAGGTGTCTTTATTGTAACCCTTCAGTGTATCCCTAGGAGTAGTATTGCTAGATCATAAGGCAGGTCTATTTTCAGTTTTTTGAGGAACCTCTGTACGGTTTTCCATAGTGGTCATACTAATTTACATTCCTACCAACAGTGTATGAAGGTTCCTTTTTCCCCACATCCTCACCAACATTTGTTGTTTGTGTTCTTGATCATAGCCATTCTGACTGGTTAAGTGGGATCTTAATGTTTCCTTTATGGCCAGGGATGTTGAACATTTCTTCTTCTTTTTTTGGCCGAAAGTATGCTTCTTTCCTTTGAGACCCACACATTCATTCATGTGTCTTGAAATTTCTATCACCTCCTTTCTACAAGTAAAAATACTTGCAATAAATCTCTCAGTACTTAGGGGAATCTGAGATAAACAGTTATCTCTCTGGCAAACAAAACTGCCCGACACATCTCCCCAACATTTTAAGAAGTAAACAATGTTCTTCTTAAAGTGTGGTGGCCAGAAATGAATGAAATCCTATACTTATCCACCGCCCAATGAGGAGTGGAAAGAGATTGCCATCCTCTCTGCTCAGAGCATTGTCTCCTGTATTGGCAGCCTCATGATTACTACTGCTTATGTGAACCTTGCTGTCAACTAAAGCCCACAATTCTATCCTTCCTTCCTTCCTTCCTTCCTTCCTTCCTTCCTTCCTTCCTTTCTTTCTCTTTCTCTCTCCCCCTTCCCCTCCCTCCCTCTCCCCTTTCTTTCTTTTCTTTCCTGTCTTTCACATATATTTATTGAACTCCTCCTGTGTGTCAGGCACTGTTCAAGGCACTGGAGATATAAAGTGAGCAAAAGTAAACACAGTCCTACACTGAGCAAATTATCACACTTGTTAAAGCATCATTCATTACACAGGAGTGAGGAGACAGCCCCTTAACCACCATAAGTCTGTCTTCCTCACCCTCCACCCCTCCATTGGAAAGAAAAAAGAGGAGCCCCTACAGTTCCCTCCCAAGAGACTCAGACTCTCTATCACTATCACTACTTCATTTCTGCCATAATAAAAAGCTTAGGCCTCTCTGGAGATTCCACAAACACAAACCCTCATTTCTATAAGGCCATGACTTGAGTCCCCACCCGCATCTCCAACCTCTTCAAGCATCTTGCTATCCCCTTATAACTGCTCAGTCCATTATCTTAAAATACCTAATATCTTCAAAATTTCATTAACATTCCTGTTTCCTTTGTGCTCTAACTGAAAGTTGTCTGCTCCCTAGGGACTCTGCTTCTTCTGCAACCACTTCAAGGTCCTAGAAGTCCTAGCAGTGAGACATGTGGCCTCCTTGCTTCTCTTCTGATTTTTTTCTCTCTCTCTTTCCTAACTCTACATGCACTCATGCACACTCAGCTTTGAATCTCATGTTATCAGACTATACTGTCCATTACTTCCATATAGAAGTAATACTCATCTGCCCTTCTTTCCTCTCCCCTTTAAACTTCCTCCAACACTTTCACCCCACTGCCATACCTTCCACTCTTGTTTAATGACCCAATCTCCCAGTTCAATGAAAAAATGGGAGAAATCAGAAGAGAAGGTAAACAGCTCTGCACAGCTACCTGCCTAATTACATCTGCTTTGTCACTAACCATGCACTACACATGCTTATATCTAAAGCTACTTCAGTATGCTCCAGGGCTTCATTTTAGCAGCTCTTACATTTCTCTCCTATAGCATTTATTCTGGGGATATTTCCCAACAGCTTATAAATGCTTCACATAGTTTCCCATTTAAAGCTTTTTGACTCTACTTGTGCCTCTAGCTACTTCTCTATTTCTTCCATCTTTCTGTAAGCAAACATACTCTGTCACTAGTTGCTCTCTTCCTTGAACCTATTCTAATCAAGGTTTTTGTCCCCCAACATTCCAGGGTAACAGTCTTTTCCAAGAGCACCAATGATCTATACATTTCAAAATCCAATGGTCAGTTCAGTTCTTCATCTCATTTCACTTTTTACCCATATTTGGCACACTTGATTGCTACCTACTACTTAACATTTCTTTCACTTGACGTGCAACATGTCACGTCAAGTTTATCTCCTGCTTCATGGGACTCTTCTTCCTTATCGTCTTCTGCTGATTGTTTCTCAACTTCCTCACATTTCAATGCTCAGGTCGCCTTGACCCAATTCTCCTCTCTAATTCACTTATTCTCTGAGAAATCTCATCTAATCTTTCGGCTTTATGGGGCATTAATGTGCCAAAAGCCACAAATTCATGCCCATTGCCTAGACCTGGAATGTTCAGTCATCCCAGTTTGCCTGGACCCTTCTTGCTCCCAGGCAAACCAGAACAGACTACCTTAACTTTTCCTTAACCTACCCTAATGTCTCCTCCAAATTCCGGATTCACGAATCTAGCTATCTGTACTCTGACTCCACTTGGCATGTAACAGGCATAGCCAGACTGACCCCCAACTTTTTCTCCCAAATATGATTTTCTCAGAATGGACTTGCCTATATCAATAAATGGAGACTCCATTTCTCTCATTACTCACAGTCTGAACCTTGATGTGATCCTTGATTTTTTTCCTTTCTCTTGAAACACATACTCCATCTGTCAAAAAGGCATTCCTTCAAAAATAGCTAGAATCTGATCACTTCTACTGTTACCACTCTGATCAAACCACCACAATGTCTTGCCTAGATTAGTTCCTGCTATATCCACATGTAGTTAATTCTTCACTCAGCAGCTACCGTAATCCCTTAAAAACAAGATAAATCACATCCATTGCTTACATTGAACAACTATTTCCTACTTTTTTCTCTGACTGAAAAACCAAAGCTCGAACATTGACCAGGCCCCTCTTTCTGATCTCATCTCTTGTGATTTTCCTTACCATTTACTCTGTATCGACCATGCTGGCCTTCTGGTTGCTCTTCAAAGATAGGGAATACACTTCTATCTCAGGGCTTTTGCCCTTAGTCTTACCTCTGGGGCAGTCTTCCAACATGTATTTGCTTTGTTCACCCTCTGATCTAGTTCAAATGTTACCTTATCAGTTTTTCCCCTATTAAAAATAGCATGCATCAGCTGGGCATGATGGCTCACACCCGTAATTCTAACTACTTTGGAGGCTAAGAATGGTAAGATCATGGTTAGAGGTCAGCCTCAGTAAATAATTCACAAGACTCCATCTCTAAAGTAACCAGAGCAAAATGGACTGGAGGCATGGCTCAAGCAATAGAATGCCTGTTGTAACTGTGTGCTCTGAGTTCAATTTCAGTCCCATCAAAAAAAAAAAAAAAGCATATACTTACATACATACCCAGGCACTTCCTATCCTCTTCCCCAATATATTTTTCTCTGCAGCACTTATCACCAATGGGCTCAGTATATATTTTATTTGTTTGTTTGATTTTTATCTATTTCCTTCATTGTTGATCCTTAAAAAGAAACTTTTATGATTCAACTCAGCACTATATCCCCAGTACTTAAAAGAGAGCCTGGCACATAAATGTTCAGCAAATATTTGTTATTTAAAGCAGTAAAGGAATTAGAAATTGAGATGAGAGCACCAAAGGAAAGGGACAGAAACACTTAAGTGTCTGGTGAGTGAAGAAGGGCTGCCTCCGGAAGTGCCAATTTAATAGAGATCTGAAGTATGGGTGTACATTAACCAGATGAACAGGAGAAAAGAGCATTTCAGAAAGAAGGAACAACATAAGCAAAGGCTCTGTGTTGGG